ACCATCACTGCCCAGAGGAGCTGGGGCATGGCTGCCACCACCTATAGGGGCAGGCAGAAGGCACTGGGAGGGGGATCACCTTGTAGAGTTTGTAGAAAGTTTCGTAGATGAAGATGAGGGAGATGAGGAAGGCAAAGATTTCCTGCGTGAAGGGCGAGATGTAGCGCACCAGGAAGCTGCCCTCAGCTGCCACAATGATGAAGATGAAGACGATGAGCCACAGACCAATCCACACTCTGCCTGTCAGGTACTCAATGCCTTGGGTCTGGCAGAACTGAGATGGGGAGGAAGGGGCAGTCATAGTCATGGTCACAGTCACAGTCTGAGTGTCTGCTCCTTCCCCCTTGGCCCACGCGACCCCTGAGTGCCAGCTGGGAAGTGTGAGGACATCCTCCTAGGCCCCACAGTAGGGCCATGGTTAAGGCAGGGCTGACTCCCTGACAAGGGTCACAGACTCCTGTCCTCCCATCAGCCATTGCACCCCAGCGGGGCACTTCCAGCCTTGAGACAGACAGTGCTAGAGGGAGGGACGACCTGGGATCATTCAGCCTGGAGAAAAGACAACCAAGGGGATGTGACAGTGATCTCTAAATGCCACGAGGACTGCTGGAAAGGGGACTGACCTGTCGTTCTCTACATCCATGAGGGACAGGACATGAACTAACTGCAGCAAGGGAGACCTAGGTCACATTAGGAAGCACTTGCTGGTCAGCACGGGAGTTGCCACCACTGGAAGTTCAGAGCAGGATGGTTTGGTTGAGGGTCATGGGACCAGAGAAAAAAGGGGCTGGAAGGGACCCCATGAGGTCGCATCTAGGCCAGCCTCCTGCTCAAGGCAGGATCAGCCCTAGACCATCCCAGCCATGGGTCTGTTCAACCTGCCCTTGAACGTTTCCAGGGATGGAGATTCCACCACTTTGAGGGGCCTGTTCAGTGCTTGACCTCCTCAGAGTTAGAAAGTTCCCCTTTGTCTACAGCCTAAATTTTCCCTGCTGCAGCTTGAGGCCACTGTTGTCCCCTACAGCCACAGAAAAAAGCCCATCTCCATCCTCTTGATAACAGTCTTTAGGTATCTTGAGACTGTTATCAAATCCCCCCTCAGTCTTCTCTTCTCCAGACTAATTACCTTTAGCTCTTTCAACCTGTCCTCACAGTTATGTATCCCAGGCCCCTGATGACTACTGTCACTCCTCACTGTACTCTTTCCAATCTGTCCACATCTCTCCTGCAACGTGGAGCCCAGCACTGGACATGGCATGGCTGCACAGTGTATGCACTGTATACAGTGCTGAACGGAGCAGGAGAATCACTGCCCCTCACTTGCAGGTGAGACTGCTGTTTGCACAGCCCAGGAGACTGCTGGCTTGGTTTGCAGCCTGAGCACACTGCTCGCTCCTGTTCAGCTCATGGTCCACTGCTCCCCAGACCCTTCTCTGCAGTGCTGCAGCCCAGCCAGCCATTCCCCAGTCTGCATTTGTGCATGTCAGTATCCTGTCCCTACTGCAGGACTTTGCACTTGTTCTTGTTGAAGGGATGGTCCTGCCCAGGCTCCATGGCCCCGAGGCCCCATCCAGGCCTGTGAATACCTGTCAGCAGGTGGGTGGCCAGGGGATGCCAGCCATCGCATACCTCCCCTCCCTTCCCAACACTGCAAAGGAAAAACGACTTCACAGCAAAACCATTGCTCGGAGCCTGTGGCAGCACAGCCCTGCGCAGCCCACCCCACAGGAGAGGCTGCACCGCAAGGCTGGCTGCAGGTGGCCTGCATGGCTGGATACACTACAGTCCCTGCAGAAGCTCTGCAGTTGCAGATGACGTGACCAGCCCCAGCACTGCCCTGCAGGCATCAGGGGAATGACACAAGGCCCTGCCCAGACGGGCCAGGCCACAGGCACTGGTGGGACAAGCCCTGGCCACATGTGGCAAGGGCTGACACGCACCTTGTAAAATGCTTCTTCAAACACCAAGAGTGGTCCTGAAAAGCCGATGACAAGGAGGGGCTGGGCCCCAAGCAGGGAGAACAGGATACCCAGGACCGAGGTGGAGATGATCAGCTCTGAGACGCCCATGAGACCCTCCGTCTTCTCGCCTTAGAGACAGAGAACAACATGTGCATCAAGAAGCCCCAGCTGGGACACAACAGAGCACTTAAGGGAGGAGCCCAGGGACTCTCTCCAGTGCTGCTCCTGGAAGGCCGCGCCTGGTCCTGGCTCCACGCTGCTGCAAGAGGATGGACATGCCGGAAAGTGCTCAGAAAGGAACTGCAGACAGGCCAGGGGCTGAGCAACAGGGAGGAAGGTAGCCATGCACATGCAGCAGAATGAGCCCCCAAGCCAGAGCCCCGTCCAGGCCCAGCCAGGGCACCTGGCAGGCAGGAGCGTGCAGACCGAGCGCAGGCCCGTTACCTAAGAGTCCCCCGAAGGTGATGGCAGGAGAGAGAGCAGCAAAGTAGATGAAGAGAACGGCCGCAAGACACTGGCTGTGCAGGGCGTCCCGGATGTCGCTGAGGTATTTGGGGTACCTGCGCTTGATGTCCCGCACCAGGCCGCCAAAGAAAATGCCGGTCCGCCGCAAGGGGTCGTCCTCTGCCTCCTCCTCCTCCTCCTCAGCCTTCACCTCGCACAGCTCTGGGGAGGGGCAGGGCGCATGGGTCACAACGGGAACATAGGGACCCGAGCCCCCTTCCCCCAGGATGTATGTGCCGGAGCAAACCTGCCTGCCAAGCAGCCAGTTGGCGTGACACTATCATCGGCAGCTCTCTACACACTGCCCCCGACAGCCCAGGCCCCCGCTGCTCACCCTGTCCTGACCTTCCCACACACCCCTGCTGGGGCAGGGCACGGGGAGCCCCGCAGGGTCACAGCCAGCACCCAGGGCTCAGTCTCCATCCCCTGGGCAGACAAGGGAACACAGCAGAGACCTTTGGCTTCCTGGGCAATGCCCTCCTTTGTGGACTTCTTCTGCTCCCGCTCCTTCCTCTTCCTCAGCAGCTCCTTCTGAAAGGTGGCGATGGAGCGGAGCAGGTCCTTGCCCTCCACCTCCGATGGCGGGATGACAATGCTGCAGTCCAGGAACTCATTGATGGCGTTGAGCAGGTCCTGGCGGTCATCTGCCAGGTATGCAGCCTCATGGAAGAGCTGCCTCCAGATAAGTTCAGGTTAGGGTCAGGGTCCTCAGCGCAGCATCACAGCGCCTTCCCCCTGTGCACCCAGACCCTCCAGCTCCAGCACCTGCCCTACTGCCCCCACCCAAACCCCACCCCCTCCAGAGCAAACAGCCCAGTCCCAGGTTCTGGTACTTGGCCAAACTGTTGCCTGCTCTGCTTCCAGTCCCAGTCCCTCCCCTCCTGACCGACAAGCAGGAACTCCCCGGGGCTCCTCTCCCAGCTTGTGGTCCTGAAACCACCCTCTGCTCTACATGCAGGGGCCAGAAAGGGCTGGGCATTGGCCTTGGCCATAACCCTAACCCTAACACCACCACCCCCAGCTGCCCCAACCTGGGCTTGGCAGCCAGCAGGGATAAGGCATTGCTGCAGCTAGGAACCTGGGAGCCAGCCCCAGGATGTGTCACTCCCCCTCTCCCCATGGCCGATGTCATGGTCTCCTCCCTTTCGTCTGCTAGTCGGGATGATGCATCTCCCCTCCCTGCCCCAGCAGAGGCAGCATGCATCTTCCTGGATGCCCCAGCAGGAGAGATCAGCGCAGCTCCATCTCCATCTGCAACAGTCACCATTGCATCCAGTTTGGGTGCTGGTGCCTGCTGTGCTAGGCACTGGGCCCAGGGGCTCCGATGCACTGGTCAGCTTGTCCCTTTCCAGGGCCAACACCTCTGCCTGACTCAGTGCACTGGAGGCGCACACCACCCCTCCTCTCCTTCCTCAACTTCTGGGGACCCCTTCGCTCTTGCCCTCCTCTGCACTCACTGCCCAGCACAGCGTGACCGTCGGGGTCCTTCTGCACTGGGTGATCTCACCCTGCCCTGAGCCTCCCATCCTGGGCTGGGATCCTTGGACTAGACCTGCCCCCTCGGCCGTGCCCACCCCCAGCTCCTGTCCAGCAGAGGCCTTGGCACAGCAACGGCATCTCTGTAGCTGCCCTGTCTTGTGCCTGACCCTCTGTCCCTTCTCCCACCCCCCAGCATTAGCAATGGCCCAGCCTGCTCCTCACCTTGTCGGACATAAGGGTGGAGATAGAGCGCCCGATCTCGTGGTAATCCATGTTGGCCTGGCTGGGCCCCAGCAGGACAAAGATGAACCGGACTGGGATCGGGACCTCCAGGACAGACTCCAGGAAAGTGGCCTCGTTCAGCCGGACAAAAGCCATGGTGGGCTGCTCCAGGAACTGCACGCAGCCTGCGAAGGGCAGAGACCGTGGTAAGGGGGGTCCGGCACTGGATCAGGCACCTAGAGAAGCTGTTGTCATCTCCATGCCTAGGATTTCTCAAGAGCAGGTTGGCTAGACCCAGGGCTGGGATGATTTAGTCAGGGATAATCCTAGACTAGATGTGGCCATGTGAGGGTCCTGCCACTCCAACTGTCCTATGAATGAGGTCACAGAGGGAACCAGACCCCAGGAGATATTGATGCCCCCCAGCAGTACTGTCCCAGGGAAAGGCCCCTGCTAGACATACATGGGCTCATACAGGTATTCCCTGACTGCAGGTGATGGGAAGTGTGGGGTCGCCTGGTCCAAGGGAACCTGGGGCACGGTGCCCTCACAAACAGGCTGTTTGCAAAACAGCCAGGTTTAATCACATGCTTTTGTCCCTAGCTTGGAGAAAACACAAGCAAAGCCAATACAGCGCTGGCATTCGCTGGACCCAGAGAACACAGGCACCGGGAGCCCGGCACCGAGTAGTCTGGCTTCCAAAGCACAATAAAATGGACTGACGAGTTAAGAACATCTGAACGGCCCCGTGGGGCCCACCAGCCTGGCATCCCGCCTCTCACCGCAGCAGAGTGATGCTGAAGGGAAGAGCCTCTGTGCAGGGCCCATCCAGCCTGATGCCCGTCTCCTTACATTCACACTTAACACTGATGGGCCCATCTGAACCAATGCAGGCCCCAGAGAGAGAAGTGTGATTGTCCTTCAGAAAAGTGAGTCAGTGCAACCCTCAGAGCAGCCCAGGTAAATGGCTGGGAATGCATGTGCCCCTCAGTAACAATGCCAGTGCAGAGGGACTGCCTGGTACCACAGCATCTGCACTGTGGTGAGCAGCCACCGAGGGCCTAGTGCACAGGGTGGGAGCTAGTTTAGCATCTCTCCCAGATACACAGTTCGGTCCATAAAAGAGCACCTAGAATCCCCCTGCCTCTCTTGCAAACCCTGAGTGCTTTGTCCAGTGGGCTTGTGCCAGGCAGCTCCCTCCAAAAGAGCATGTAGATTCAGTTTCCCTCCCCCCTCATGTCCCTGGGGAAATTGCTCTCCTGTAGCTGGCTTCTGTCAGCAGAGCTCTGCCATGCAGGGAGCTGGTATTGCTGGGGCTGCAGAAAAGGTCTGTGCCAGCATGGGCTGCATCTATGCCAAGGATGCCACAACTCTGCCACTGCCATTAGTGCCACAGTGGCCCTTCACCATAGACAAGGACACAGTCTCTGCTATATACAGAGGCAAAGCCCCTCTCTGCTCCCACTCACTCACCCTCCTGTTTATGCGCCAGGACCTCATTAGCCCTGTGTCCCACAGCTTTACAGTGGGCAGCTCATGTGCAGCTGTTTATTCATGTACTGCCCTAAAACCCCATGCATCACTGCTTTCCAGGCTGCAGTCCCCATTCACAGAGCACGGCCCGTGTGACACTGCCCAGAGGGACAGCCCTGCATTTGCTTCCATTCATATTAATTTGGTTTTCCTGGATCCAGTAAATCCAGTGATCCCGCTGGCTCCCTATGACTGCCCAGCCAATGTCACCGTCTATCACGCCACCCAGCTCTGCAGCAGCGTCTCCCAGTTTCCCCAGTAGTGACTGCTCAGGGACACAGTCAGTGCAGAAGCAGGTGGGCATGAACCAGCTGGACATGAACCAGCCATGAATAAATGAGGCTGGGAGTGAAACAAGTGGTTGTAACCACTGGAGTACAGGGTCCAGGGACACACGTACCTCCCAAGAGCAGCAACGGCGAGAAGCCTGAATGGCTGGGATGGAAGTCAACTGGGTTGTGGAAGGGACTCAACTGTGGCTGTCCATGAAAGCCGGGGGATCCACTCCACGACCCAGGCACTGCCTCCCAGGCCACAGCCAAACACACTGAAAAGCACCTGGCCGTGCACTGATCTCCACGGGACCCTGCTACCAGCCCCTGTGTTCAGTGACCATTCCCCAGTAATGACCACACTTGTCACGAGTCAGTTCTTGATCCCTTTAACATAGGCCCCCCGATAGCGCACAGGGCTTGCTTTTCAGTCAGTGGTGTGCGGGCCTGGCAGAGACCTGAGTACATGACACCCATGTGGTTACCTCTATCATCTGTGTTGCAAATCCAGGGCTGTTTGACCAAGAGGACCCCAAAATAAAGCTGTCTCCCACAAACAACCTACTTCTGAGTAACAGTGTCCCAAAGTGCCCATGCAGAGCCAGTGCAGCTTGAAAACCCTCAGCCTCACCAGAGCTCCCTGCCTCAGTTATACAGGGCTCAAGGCGCTACCCTGCACTGAGCCTAGCAAAAACAACTCGGTCCTACATGTCTGAATAGTGCTGGATGCTGGAGTGGGGCAGGTCCCAGAGCCCTGGCCTGCGCAGGTAACTGTTCCAGGTGCCCCCAGCACCCGTGGCACCTGGAGCCCAGTCTAGGCAGCTGGGCCCACTTCTAGGACCTCAGATCCTTGCAGTGTGCACAGGTCTCTCTCAGGAAGTTAGTCAGGCATGTTCACAATGTGTGCCACTGCCCCTTTCCCACATCCCACCCAGCGCTGTGCAGGGGGCACAGTCAGGGCAGTGCTGTCAGCTGAGCAGGTGCAGATGGGGTTGGGGAGGGGATGGATGTGAATCGTTGCAGCGGCTCTCTCCTGAGCAGCTCAGCCCTGCCCCAGAGATGGCATCTCAGGGTTGTGACAACAAGGATCCTGACCAGGGAGGGATGGAAAAGCAGCCCTCCACCCCAGGTCTGCTGTACTGACTGCGGCCAGCACCGGAACAACCAGGGACCTCTTGCACAGTCCCTTTTTCCTGATGTCCCAGATGTTCCCCTTGTCCCCCTGACACAGGCCAATGCCCAGCGCTTTCTGGCCCCTGCCTTGCTTCTTTCCCATCAAGCATTTCCTAAACTCTGTGCTCTGCGGAGGGCCAGAGGATGGGGCCCTGGTCGCTCCCCTTGCTCCAGAGCCTCCTCCTGTGTTCAGATTGTTTCCCAGGCCATTTCCAACCGGCGCAAGTGACAGAGAGATCACAAAACTTGCAGGGGTGCCCACGCATCACAGCCCACATGGCCCAGCAGCATTCGCATTTGTGCCTCCCTCCAAAGTTCAGGACCATTCCCAGCCTCTGCACTGGGGCTCTGAGATAGGCCTGCGCATCTGGCTTCCAGGCACGGTGGGCAAAACAGGTTTGAAAACAGCATCACCCTGACACGAAGCTGGTGCCCGGCCGAGTTCTGAGACGCTTGGCCAGGGAGGGAGGTGAAGCAGGATGAGGCCATGCTGTCCTGCCTCCCAGCCTTTGCTCCTCCTTGCTGGAGCCTGGCCTGGGCAGCTTGGCCTGGTGTCCCCTGCAGTAGTCCCGGGGTCAGACCCCACAAGCTGGAAGGTACCTCTGGCACCTTCAGAAGGAGCAGATTCACCTATCCTAGGAAAAGGGTCTGGGACAGCCTGAGACCCCAGGACACAGCAGGCGAGGTGACAAGGCATCACTTGGGCCAGGCCCCTCCAGCTGAGCAAGTGACATTGTCCTCAGGTAAAGCTGGGGTCACAGAAATGGGCAGCCCACGCTGCTTGGCCGGCACGAGCTGGTGCCTGGCTGGGTCCCGGACCTGGGACCAGGCCTCCCTGGCAGGTCCCCATCAGCATCTCTTACCCACAAGGACCACAGTGGCCTCTGCATCATCAGGAATCTTCTCCATCAGCTTCAGATACTTCCCGCGGTGCCCCTCGGAGTTGTGCAGATGCAGGTTTTTCTGCCCCGGCCAGGAAAAAAGGCACACATGAGGATAGGCAGCCAGGCTCCGTATTCCTGCCATGTGCTGGGGACTGGGGGAACTGGATACCCACGCCTGTACTCACACCTGGCTTGGGTTCCCCCAGGGCAGGGCACAGGGCAGAGCCTTGCTGATAGTTGTTGCTCTGCCTCTCCCCAGAGGAAGCTGATACCAGACCCCACTTGTTGGTGACTTTCCCTGAACCAACTACTCCCCTTCAGACCCATGTCTAGCCCTGGGTCATTCACCCTACAGTCCTGCTGCACCTGAGGTGCTGCTGCAAAGTGGCTGCTCCTGGCCAGAAGGAGCAACTCTTGCTGCACCACATGGGGATGACAAGGTCAAACCGTCATAAACTACTACAAGACCGTTTCAGGCTGGACATAAGGAAGAATTTCTTTACTGTCC